AAAATGCTATAGTATTGAGAGTATGGGTAATCTCTTTTCTGTTGCCCATTTCCCAAATTTTCATAATGATAAAAAAAATTATACTAAGTTCTCCCAAAGGAATCTTTAAAGGTATGGTTCTTTTAATTATTTTCAGATGACTCTCACATCTGTTATCTCATTGCTTCTTACAACGCTTTGGAAAGGGTCAATATTAAATAGTTCCATTTTATGTCTAGGACACAGATGAAGTGTTTATGACTTGCACTAAGTCATTCAGTTGACTAGGGGGAAAACTTTGAGCCCCCTCAATCCTGCTAATCTCTTGGCTGCTGGGTCTTCATCTTGGAAGCCTCTGGAGCCAGGGCTCCAGGATCCTCAATCTTAAATGGAAAAAGCTGCTCCCTGGGCTTTGGCTCTATGGTCCAAGTTGGGTGTCTATGGCATAGAAGATACACATCAGAAGGTTCCCAAAGATGCAATCCCCACCTGGATTGCTCCTCTCATACCTCCTCCTATCTAGCAAAGCACCAAGTCCTTGGGTAAAATTCCTTGGAAATGGAGAGAGAGAGAGAGATCAGAGTAGGAGGAGAAGGAGGAGAAGAAGAAGGGAGGTTGTCAGGACCATAGGCTGTGTTTGAGAATCAAGTTGGACAACATTTTTTAATTCTAGTTTTTGGAGAAGAAGAGAGATTATTCAAACTAGTCTGTTCCTTGTTCTATCCAATGCCTTCCCCTGACACCTTCTCTTCCTCCAGTTGTCTTAGGAGAGGTTGCCAGGAACTTGTAAAATGGCTTCTGCAGAAGGTCTCCATTCAAGACCCTCAGAGCTCAGCCCAGGGTTCCTTCCTTCAGAGAAGGTGGGTCCTTGGAGCAGGTGAGTGCCTTGCTCAAGAATACCAAAGGCAGAACCAGACTAGAACCAAGCGCCCCTCGCCCCCACCCCGTGCTCCCAGCCCAGGGCTCTTTGCACTGATCCACCCTGCACTGAGGAGCCCCAGGTATGTACTGGAGTTTTGTAGACGGAGAATGGAATCACTAGCATTGTTTCCTGTATGGAGTTTTATCCCCACTTCCCTGAAGATGGTCATCCTTGGATATATTCTTGACTTCATCCACAACTGTTTGCCACTGACTCGAGGGACAGAATGGGCTTTGGGTTAGATTCAGGAGTATCCCCAGAATGCCTTCCTTGATTCATAATTAATGATACCACTACTGAGGACTGGCTGTGTGCCTCATCTTCAATGAATCCTTATGTGTTAGATGCTCTTACTCATGCCATTTTCAGCTGAGGAAACTTAGGCACAGAGAGTGGAATGACTTATCCAAGGGGATACAGCTGCTAAGCGCTGAATCCAGAATCAAAGTGCCACCTTCCACATTTCAGCATTTATATGATGCTTCCCAACGTTTCCTGAAGAAGGAGCCTCTTAAATATGTAATCCCCACATTCAAATTGACTTTATAGGAAGTGCAGGCTTTGGAAAGCAGAAGAAAGAAGAAAATCTATCCCACTCCTTTTCTGAGGTGAAGCAGCCAGGAGGACAGGGATGCTACTACCCTGACTGATTTTAACTTGTGTCTAACTTGCCTCTCTAGAGTGCTGTAAGCAAATACAATCTTGAGGTTTGAGGAAGAATAATGGAGGTGAGGGAAGGAGTGGAAAGGGACTGTTTCCTGGACTAAGAAACTGCTAAAAGCTTTAAATATCTCTTGATCTTTTTTCCCCTCTTTTGGCTCCCTGTGATGTTTTGATGTTTAGATTCGGTTGCCACAGTGGGCTGTTTTTAGCTGCTAGGTCCATCCCCTCCCCTTTTAACTGTTTTCCCTTCCTTTTGCACATGCCCCAACGTGAAGTTTCCAATTCTTATCTCACTCAGCAAAACATACCGAGACTAGTCTGAATGAAGATTCCCTAGGCGGTTCTCCAGCGTAAAACCTCAGCAATATTCAAGTCTCTGCTTAACTCTCTTTCACTAAGGATTAACCCCTGAAATAACCCTACCCAGGGCTTCCTTCTCAGGGAAAAGAGAGGCATTCTTTGCCTTTGTGTAAAGAAGCATTTTGGTCTGGGGAGCTTTTCTTGCTCCTCCTCTAGATGGTACAGTGTGTGCATGCTGGACACTGGTGACAGTAATTAAAGTCAGGTAAAATGAGGATGCACAGAGCTCAGATATTGATCATGCCTGCAGGGCACACGCCTTGGGACTGTCCTCTAGCATTGCTCTTCCCCAGTCTCTCTCGAATTAGGCAGATTTCACAATTCTGGAGGCTGGGGGCTGGGAGGTAGGCAGCAACAGTTTTTGTTTTCCTTGGATAAGAGTTTCATTCACAAGGGGGTGGACTTACTTCTCTGTCAAGATTCTTATCACTTTTAAGAGTTTCAGTGGAGAGCGAGGCTCAGGCTTTGGTGAACAGCGTTTCTATCCAGGTGTGACTTGGGGATTCAAAACCAAGAATTATCAGAATGAAACAAATTGAATTAGAGGAGAGGGAGGTACCATGGCAATAAAAATAAACCGACGAAGGGTTGTGGACTTTTCTGTCTTAATTACCCTTCTCTTGCATTGTTTGGTGGAGGCTGGTCTGGCTATTTGTTTACCTACGCCTGAAGTTGAATTTCCCCTTAACGACAGGACAAAACGTCCACAAATCTGGCTTAGGTGTATTAATGGAATCCTAGTTTAAAATGTAAACTGGTTAAAGATTTCTGTAGGCATTTCACAGAGGAAAAAAAGAGGGGGTAGAAAGTTTTCACGTGTTCTCCCCCCATCTTCTTGTTTCACTCTAATAGTGCCATTTAGTCCAGGGCAGTAGATGAGTAGATATAAAAGACATGGAAAGAATCCCAAATAACTTTCATTTAAATTTACAAACGCCCTTCCTCCTGCTCTCGCGGTGTTCTACGTGTCGTGCTACGTGTTGTGCAGACACACCCAGGGTTTACCTGCCCGCCCCGGGTTTACCTGCAGGTGCGTGGGCGGGAGGGCGGGGTGTGGGGGTGTGGAACAGGGTGTGCGGGTGTGTGGGACTTGGGGCGGGGAAGCCCGTTACCAGGGTGAAAAGTAAAGCAAAAACAACCTCCCCAGGCTTCCCGCGCTACTCCGCTGGAAACCCGGTGAGGTCCCGGGCAACATCCCCGAGGATCCTGCGTAGAACCCCGAGACTCCCGGACGGGCCGGGGACGGGGGAACTTGCGAGGCTGCTCTCCGCGTTGTTCTGGGCCCCGGAGCTAACCCTAACACCCAACACCGAAGCTAACCCTAAGGGTGTTCTGAGTGAGGCTCAGGTTCGGGGGAGAGGAACCTGGGTGCAGGGGACTCAGTTTTATTTGCAGCTCTGGATGGTATCTGTCAGAGGCGCTGAGCAATCAGAGAGGCTGGAAAGAGGAACAGATTCCCCGAGGGTGCGGGACTCTGTGTATAAGGGAGAGAAACAAGAGACAGACGGACTAGCCCCTCCATTACGACTCTCAACAGCCGAAGGCTGCAGGTGAGGTGGGGCTACGGGAAACATCTCGGCTCTCAGATCCTTCTAGTTCCTATCCCAAATTACCAAACTATGATCTTGCATCGCCTCTCTCCCAAAAGGCAGGTAGAAGCAGGTGCCCCTACACGCCACGGGCGCGCACGGTCTCCCTCTCAGCAGGTACGAAACATGGCGGGCCACACTCGCGTCTACCTATATTCGTCCATGAGCAGTTGAGAAGGTCCCTGGTTCTGCCGCTCTGGAAGTTGAGACAGCTGGGGTGGGGGAATCGGAACTAGGAAATCGTTCTTAAAGGTTCAAATCCAGTTCTGCTGAAGCCTCGATTCGAATCTGGACCGTGAAAACTCGCACTTTCCGCCACTCGGCTTTAGGGCGGAAAGGATTTCTGCTGCGGGGCCCCCTTTCGGCTGCGGTCAGCCTGTCCCCAGTCCTGGCCGTCCGGTCCCTGCCCAGGCCTCTCTCCGCGCAGAAAAACACGTGAAAGGCGAAGACGTGTTTTCCCTCAACATTGCCTGAGAGCCAGGTGACCCCCGCCCCTCCCTGCCCGCAAAGACCAAAGCACCTTTTCTCTCTTCTCCCTGTCCTCTAGGCTTCAGTCTTATTCTTAGCCCCTCTCTGAGTTGCCTCTGATTTCTCCAGGTCGCCCATCTTTCCACGGTCTTGCTCGTTTCACTATCAATTCTAAACGCTTTGTGGCTGTTAAAAAAAAATCCCAACCCACAGGTCCTACCACTCGCCCTCGCCTCTGAGCCGGGTTCCCAACTGGCCAAGAGGCGGTTCCGCGTATGTGCTCGTGTGGGGTGTGCCGAGGCTGCGGGAGTGGGCGCACGGTGCCCGCTGCCCTCCGCTCTTGAGTTAACGGGCAGAATTCTCACAGTCCCCGCCGCAGAGGTCACCCCCGGCGGGTAACGGTGTGGGTTCACTGTAGGGTGTCTTTGGGGACCTCTCCCATACCAAGGACTAACGCTTCTGTTCTTACCCCGCCCCGTACTTGAGAAGGAGGCGTTTAGCTGGGAAGTGGGTATTTTCCTGAAGCTCAAGAAAATGACCACGCATTTTAGAGGAAGGTCGTGCCCGCTTCCCAGCCTCACCTAGTCTGGGCAGCAGCCAGAACCCGCCTCTCCATCCCCCTCCCTCCTCAACCTAGCGGAGGGAGAGATGCCAGCGCGGTGGAGTCATGCCGCTGGCTTGGGCACCATTGGCTCATGCCTGGAACACGCAGCGGCGAGTACGCACATCTGGCGGCCAGCCCGGGCGGCTCCGGTCCTGATATGGAGAGAGAGGGCGGGCGGGTGCGTGTGTCCCGGCGTGAGAGGCCGAGAGAACGCGTCCAGGCCAGCTCCTCCCCGAGCTTGCATCACTGGTCCCCCTTCTCCCCTCCTCCTCTGTGGCCCCTCCCCGCCACCTTCGCCCAGCCTAGTTCGGCTGGTTCTCCGGGGAAGCTATTAATAGCATTACGTCAGCCTGGGACTGGTAACCCGGAGTAAATGGGCGCGCCGCCAGCCAGAGAGCTATAAAAGGGGTGATGCAACGCACTCACAGCCACAGTCGCACTCAGCGAGACGCACACTGCACAGCGCTCTCGCCGCGCTGCTGCCCCAGTGGACTCGCCACCCCGTGCGCCGGCCTTGCGCCCTGGGTTCTCGCCCGCCGGCCCCACAGACAGCCTGCCCGACCCCGCCCCGACCCCGCCCGCCCTCTGGACCCTGGCCGCCCCGAGTGGAGACAGGAGGTGAGCGCTGGAATCTGAGTGAGTGAGCGCGGCAAGGGTGGCTCGCTTTCATTCCCTATGCGCCCCTCTAGTAACCAGTTCTCGACCCCTATGCCCACCCCCGACCTGCGTCCCCAGCTTCTGGCTTCGAGATAACTCTAGTTGAACTTCTCCCAGCCACCACTGCTCCTCTGCGCTTGAGAAACTTTTTCTCAAAGAACTAACTTTCTCTTTTGACTTGGGGCGCGAAATGCTCCTGGCGACGGAGAGGTCCGGCTCCCACTCCTCAACCGGCCTCGAAGCGCAGCTCCTCTCCGTTCTAGCGCCTACTCATCCCCTGGGAGCGGGCGAGGGTAGGTGGGTGCGCAGGGTGTCCGAGCCTATCCGGCTCGCCGACCGGCTCTACCCCACGCTCCGTGCACGGTCAGTGCCACTCCCGAGCCCAGCCTTTCCCGAGAGGCACGGAGAGCGAGGATCGCAGAAGGGCGGCCGGAGGGGCGAAACGGAATGAATGGGGAAGGGACCCGAGAGCCGGCCGCGGCCGCTGGCGGTCGCCCTGAGCACCTCGGAGCCCTGGGCGGCAGGACCTCGCCGGGACCCGGGAGCAAAAGTTAGTTGGGATAAGTTTAGAGGTGGCGCGCGCTCCTGTCGCTACCCTGGGGCGGAAGGTGGAGAGGGCTCCCGGCACAGGTGCCGAGCTCCTTGGCCCCAAGACTTCCTAACCCAAGTAACTAATACGCTTTTCTCTCCTACCTGTGACTCAAGCTCTGGCTCTTCCTCTGAGGGTTCGCGGATTTCTTCGCTTTTCGTCCAGGTAGACCGACTGTGAGGGCAGGAGGGGGAGCGACAGTGCGAAACCAATTCAGATAACTGAGAGAATAGCTCAGTGGTCTAGGGGCCAGGATCCTGAGAACCTATAATGCACTTGATGTCCTTAAGCCTCAGTATCCCCAGCTGGGAGATGTGGGCATGTAGACACTCCTGGTCGCCCTCTGCCTGTTTGCGAGCAGGAGGTGGTGGTTAAACCGGATATCCATTAAGGTCCTTTTTGGACGAAGATTTTCAGATTCTAGAGCAGTGTAACTGAAAGGAAAGGGGCCGATGAGAGGACTTGAACAAGGGGGCTTGGAAGTCTTTGGTCAGCCTCTGAGACAGAGGGGGAAAGGGTACTTCTCTGTGGGACATCTCTTCCCTTCCCAACGTTCTTTCCACTGATTGGTTTTCCTTCTCTACTCCCTCCGCACCCCATTTTCATCTCATCGACTTACTTCCTTTCCTCCTAACCATTTTCTTTTCCCTAATTTCACTACCAAATCACAAATGCTTTCTTAAAAATAAAGGAGTTGCTAACCCTTGATGGAACCAGAAAAAAAAATTGGGCGCTAGAAAATCTGGGTGTTCTCTCAATGCACTTACTGGTGGTACTTTAGTGTGGGTGACAGTCACATCTCTTTGGAGCCTCTGTCTTTAACTTTAAATGAAGAAGAAATTGATATGACTGTCCTCTTGTTTTGCATTTGGCATTTCTTGTAGCATAATGCTATAACATTAAGCTATTGCTTTGAGGATATCCTGGATGAAGACTGGGGTAGGGGTGGGTTTTGCAGTTGTTATTGTCTGGATAGTCAGAGACAGCACTGCAGGCAGCACTCCAGGTGCACAGTGTGAATTGTCAGAGACAGCACTGCAGGCAGCACTCCAGGTGCACAGTGTGAATAAGATACAGCACCCAGCAGCTTCTGGAACTTCCAGATCCTCCTGTCTTAACCCCACCGTTCCCTTTCTCCCTCTTGGTCTTTTCTCCCCATTGTTCTCTTTCTTCTATACTGCTCCTTGTCTTAGTCCTAGCAAAGTCTCCTCTGTTGTGGGTACAGGTTAGTAGGACTATTGACCCCTCATCTACCTGGCCACTGGCTCTGTTCTCCATTTTGGTTGGTCCTCACACTGTTGGATCTCTGCTGGTGTAAAATGTCAGTGGTCAACAGCTGGCCTAGACTGGACCACTCACCAGCTTTATGGCCTTGGACAAGTCACTTTACCTTCTGGACCTCATTTTATTCAATTACAAAATGAAGATCTCACCTAGATGACTCTAATATTGTGTGTTCTGTCCCATATATAGGGCTCATGATTTCTTCCATTTTCAAATTGGCTGGGCATGGAACAGGGTCAGTGGTTCCAAATGTTACCCAGCCTAGGAAGGAGGAAGTACACAGCCAGGACACCACAGAAACCAGAAATGGTTTCATGTGTGAGAACTGGTTATTTCTCAAGTACCTAAGACCAGTGGAGACAAGCTGGTGCCAGTAAATAGTGGGGTGGACTTGATCTGGTGTGTCAAGAGACCAGAGGTCCATCAAAGTGCAAAAGAAGCTGTGACTGACCTGAATTTCTTGAAGGTTCCAGTTAGTTCCTGATTAATGGGGCAGCATTATGAATGCCCCCTCCCCGAAATGGGGAAAGTGGAATCACAGTAATAATGGCTACCTAGGATGTGTATAAATCCACCTTCATGAATTTCACAGAATCTTCCTGACAGCCCTGCGAGGGAACTGGGGCAGGCAATATTGCTCTCGTTTTACAGATGAGGAGACTGAGGCCGAGAATGTGTGAAAATCTTGTTGGTGGGTGCTCAGCTTGTGAGTGGTAGTAATGGGCCTGCAAGCGTCATCTCTGTCCCTGACACGCAGCCTTACACTGACAACCTTCCTGTGGTCTAGGAGAAAGACCTAGATAGGAAATTAGTGAAAGAACTGGCTTCCTGCTATGAGATATTTTATGAGCAGCACTTAGTGGAAAAAGATGAAAATTAAGAGTGAAAATTCAACATAGTAGCAGCTACTAGGAAATAAAATCTGGGAGCTGAATTTCTAGTTAAAGAAATACATGAGTAAAGTTTCACTTTCTTGAAAATGGTGAAACTGCTGATGATATGACATGATTTCTGATCGGAGATAATGAAGCAGAAGGAAAATGCAGGTTCTCTGCAGTAGGCCTGGGCAATTTTAAGATCAGTGTAGGAAGTCAGCTCAGAAAATCCCCCAACATTTTTTCTTTGATGAAGGGGATGTTAGAGGGTCTCAACTTTCTGCAAAACTGTCTGAAGACTTAACTTCATTTTCCTCATTAGGGACTCAGCCTGAGTCTAGGCTAAATCACACCTCAAGAGAATGAGTCAAGGAATAACTAGAAAGTGTCTCAAGAAACTAAGCTTTAGCCAAGGGCAGGAAAAGCCCAAGTCTCTACAGATACAACTGCTTTACTTTTTGAAAGGCTTTTAACTTTTCTACAACCTGTTTCCATCTTCCAGTAAGCTCACCCAACGCTTTTCATAAAAGCATTCCATACCACTGACATTCTTCAGGTTCTTTCATCAGAACTGCTGACTTTACACCAAGAAGGGGGAAAAAATCTGAAACAGCAGACCCCCAAGCCCTAAGAGCTCATTAATAAACTTAGCTGGGAGGTGAAATGGAACTATGTCCAACTGCAGTGGAATTCAAACTGCCCGTGTAGAAGGGAGCCATGCCGTCCTCCCGACAAAGGCCAGCCCAGTGGCAGCTCTGAATTCCATTTCTGAACTGTTGAGTTTTTAATAAAGTTGAAAAAAGGAGGGAAAATGCAAATGCATGGGGGAACCTTCAGCCTCTGACTGTGGAAAACTGGTTTCTCAGAGTTTATCACCTGCCAGAAAAGTCTCCTCCTACCATCCTAAGATTATAGGATTAAACTGACAGAAGAACATCAGTTCTGACTCATGACACATGGCTTTCAGAAGAGAATTACATACATTTCAAGGGTTTCTTTGAATAGTCAATAACAGTGGCATTCGTTAGCCTGGAATTCTTGCCTCCATCAGAGCATCTTGGATCTTAAGGGGGATTTAGAGGTCAGGGTGTTCTATTCAGAAGTGTTTGAGATCAAAGAGAATGACCAGCCACCCTCCCACCTGGACCCCACAGAGAGCCAGCTGTGGGCTGGAGAGATCACTGGGAAGCCCAGGAATAACATATTTCCTAGTCGCCTTAAGTTTTCTGGGACATATCTGGGAATTAGTTCCTCAGCTCCTTGTACATCTCTATGGGAAAATAGGGTGCTTGTTATTTGCCCTCTTCTACCGTGGAGAAAGAAGGCTCTGGAAGGTATAATGATGACACATGAGGAAGTGGGCCTTAAATCTTGGTGTTCTGACCCCAGTCTCAGAATTTTGTGAATAAAAGACCCACTTATACATACTCCCTGAATTCAGGCAGCAGCCTGAGTGTGCACTCAGACAGAGAAAGCTCAGCAATTCATTAGAGTTCACGTTCTCCCCATGGCTCTCTGCTTAGTCTCCCCTCCAGCACTTCAGTTATAGGACCCCTACCCATCCCCACACCTGCCCCCAACCCCCGGAAAATTTGCTCTGTTTTTGCAGTGAAGAATTACATTTTATAGCCTATAAATTAAGGGCATGAGTTCTGGAGTCGATCTTAATTCCAAATTCTGATGCTGCCTCATACTGACTCTAAGACTTTGGGCAAATTCTTTAGCTTGACTAAATTTCAGTTACCTTGTCTATAAAATGGAATGAGGACCTAACTCACTGGGTTCTCATCAAGACTGAGTGAGATAATGCACATAAGGTTTCTGGGTATCAAGGAGGTACCTATTAAATGTTAGTGACTTGCCAAAGGACTTCATCTGGCTAGACTTGGCTAATGACTGCAGGTCCCCAGAGTGAAAGGGACGCTCCAGGGGACCACCTGGCCTGACAGTCCCCATACTCATCTCCCCTGGAGAACTGGCTGCAGGGATGAAGGGGGATGGCCACTGCTGGAGGGAGTGTCCAGCAGGGAGAGATTTATGGAGGGCTATTCCAAACTGGAACCATGGCACTATTACTATTTCTGCCCTTTCTTTTTGTTGACCCTTTGGGTTCCCTGGGCCATAGAAGGATAGAGGTAAGTGGGACCTCAGAGGCTATCTGATCTGACTGCCCCTTCCCCATTTCAGGTATTTAGTTGAATAGTCTCCAGTGGTCAGCAGGCATTGGGAGCAGCTGGTGCCAGGTACAGGGCCAGGCTGTGGAAACAGTGACAGTGGAGACTCTGTCCCAGTGCTGCAGGAGCTCCCAGACACTTGTTGTATGAAGACTGAGACTCAGAGAGCTCAGGTCCCACTACTCCTTACTGCCAGAGATAGTCCCAGAGCTCCCTGTGCCCTTAGCCCTATGCCCTCCAAACATCACAGCACTGAACAACACTCCCCAAAATAGATCCACATTGAGTGCCTCACTTTTCTTTACTCTGGGATCTTTTGTTTCACCAACCTTAACCTTAAGAAGAGGCTACTAATCCCTTGTGACCTGAATTCCCATGCCCCAGCCTCTGCCTAACTGGGGTGAAGAAACACACCTGCTACAGTTACTGTTCTCACTGATTTGGATCCAACTTGCTGAGGGAGAAGCTTTGGAGATATATTTGCTAAATTCAAGGGTCTCCCACCCCTTGCTTTTACTTCCACTCTGATAGATTCAACTTAATTTCAGATACTTTCCAGGTTTCTTTTTGAAAAGGAGACGGCAAATGGGGTTGCATAATAGTCTCACTCATTTTTTTTTAATGTTCTTCCTCTTTCAGGACTGTTTGAGGCTATATTTGCATATATGCACACCAGCCAAAACTAATAGAATAGCCTGAAATCCACCCCTTATAAACTTCAGTTAGGCATTTTATCCACATCACTGAACTGTACATTTTAAGAACCTGTTTTACTCAAGATGAGGATGGTGTGAAATGAAAACAAAGTGGAAGCCCAAGAGCTTATGGGACCTTCCTTTTGGGTCTGGGGGTGGGGCTCGGGGGTTGGAGGTCACAGGTGTGGGGGTACTTGATCCCATGCCCCCAAATTCCTGAAGTAGTTTGGGTTTCGATGTGTCTTTCAGCAAAATGATGCTTCAACACCCAGGCCAGGTCTCTGCCTCGGAAGTCAGTGCCTCTGCCATCGTCCCCTGCCTGTCCCCTCCCGGGTCACTGGTGTTTGAGGATTTTGCTAACCTGACACCCTTTGTCAAGGAAGAGCTGAGGTTCGCCATCCAGAACAAGCACCTCTGCCACCGGATGTCTTCTGCGCTGGAATCAGTCACTGTCAGCGGCAGGCCCCTCGAGATGTCAGTCACAAAAGCAGAGGTGGGTTCTCCCAGGGGTGTCCATTCTTTCTGCACTTACTTATCAAACATCTACCGTGCACCAGGTATGCTCTAGGCAGCAGGGGGCTGCAGTCGTGATTGAAACAAACAACAGCACTGCCCTTCTGGAGCTTACCTTCCATTGGGAGGAGACTGACAGCACACAAAATAAGTAAATACATGATATAAGAGGTAGGGGCAAAGAAGAAAAAATAAAGCAATAAAGGGGAAAGGGGAGTAGGGTGGGAGGAGTTGCTGTTTTAAATCAGAAGGTCAGGGAAGCCTTCACTGATAGAATGGCCTTAGAGCAGACTCGAAGGAAGAGGGGATGAGAGCCATACAGGTATCTGGCAAAAGATCAAGAACAAAGGCACTGAGTGGGGAGTGTGGTTGATACATAGGAGGAGGAGCAAGGTGGGCCAGGTGGCTGGGGTGGAGTGTGGGGTGGGAAGCAAGGTAGGAGCTGAAGTCATGGGTGGGGACGAGATCACACTGGGTCTTATAGTCTATTGTAAAGATACGGCCATGTATTCAGTGAGGTAAAGGCACTAGAGGGTTTCTGAGCAGAGGAGCAACATGGTCTGACTTAATATTTTTAAATTATTTTTCTTTTTCAAAAAAATTTTAAGGGGGTTATAGCTCAGTGGTAGAGTGCATACTTAGCATGCATGAGGTCCTGAGTTCAATCCCCAGTACCTGCATTAAATAAACAAATCTAATCACCCCCCCAATTTTTTAAAACTGAAGTTTAGTTATGTTAGTTTCTAGTGTATAGCAGAGTGATTCAGTTATATATACACATATATATTCTTTTTCATATTTTATCTATTATGGTTTATTACAATCTAGTGAATATAGTTCCCTGTGCTATACTGTAGGACCTTGTTGTTTATCTATTTTATATATAGTAGTTTGTATCTGCTTATCTTAAACTTCTAATTTATCCCTCTCTTTCCCCTTTGGTAACTGTAAGTTTGTTTTCTATGCCTGTGAGTCTGTTTCTGTTTTACAAATAAGTTCATTTGTGTCATATTTTAGATTCCATAGTTAAGTGATATCATATATTTGTCTCTTTCTGACTTACTTCAGAAAGAGTATGATATGATACTTAGTATGATAATCTCTAGGCCCATCCATGTTGCTGCAAATGGCATTATTTCACTCTTTTTCATGGCTGAGTAGTATTCCATTGTGTATATATACCACATCTTCTTTATTCATTCATCTGTTGATGGACACTTAGGTTGTTTCCATGTCTTGGCTATTGTAAATAGTGCTGCTATGAACATTGGAGTGCCTGTATCTTTTTGAATTAGAGTTTTCTCCAGAGTGGGATTGCTGGATCATATGGTAACTTTGTTTTAGGTTTTTAAGGAAACTCCATACTGTTTTGCACAGTAGCTGTGCCAAACTACATTCCCACCAACAGTGGGAGGAGTTCCCTTTTCTCCACACCCTCTCCAGCATTTGTCATTTGTGGACTTCTGAATGATGGCCATTCTGACTGGTGTGAGGTAGTTTTGATTCGAATTTCTCTGATAATTAGTGATGTTGAACATCTTTTCATGTGCATATTGGCCATCTGTATGTCTTCTTTGGAGAAATGTCTATTTAGGTCTTTTGCTCACTTTTTGATTGAGTAGTTCATTTTTTTCTTTTTGAGTTGTATGAGCTGTTTGTATATTTTGGAAATTAAGCCCTTGTCAGACCTATCATTTGTAAATATTTTCTCCCAGTCCATAGGTTGTATTTTCATTTTGTTTATGCTTTCCTTCGCTTTGCAAAAGCTTATAAGTTTAATTAGGTCCCATTTGTTTGTTTTTATTTCTATTGCCTTGGGAGACTGACCTAAAAAAACGTAGTACAATTTATGTCAGAGAATGTTTTGCCTATGTTCTCTTCTAGGAGTTTTATGGTGTCATGTGTTACATTTACTGACAATATTTTTAAACAATTACCCTGGTGGTCATGTTGAGAATGGGCAGTAGGAGCAAGGGCAGAAGAAGTGTACAGAAATCAGAGGGTCTGAACCAGGATGAGGGCAGTGAGGTTCTGAGATGTCGGCTTCTGGATCTGTCTTGACAGCAAAGTTAATTTCCAGAGTTGTATATGGGTTATGATTCCAAGTGGAGGACTCAAGGGTGATCAAGTAGATTTTTCTGCTGGGAAGAGAATGCACCAAATGATCTAGTTGAATGTTCTGGTCCCCTTGGTTGCTGTAATTCTCAACCTAAAATAAGGCATGAGCCTGTGAAACCCCTAGGCATCTTGTGTCTGGGCAGTGTGAGCCTCCTCCCCAGATCCCAGTCACCTCTGGGAAGGCAACATGCTAGAATGAGGCAGTTGTGGCCTACAGAGGATGCAGGAAGAGCCAAAAGCCTGGATTTACATCCAGTTTTGTAGTCTGGTGACCATGAGCTGGCTGGGGAATGGGCTTGGGTTCCTCTTCTCTAGGAGCTGCACAGGCTTCTCCTAAATTTAGGAAGGAGGTGCTATGAGGATGCTCCAGGTGAAGGCAGAGATGAATGGGGCTGCCCTTGGTCTTTAATGGAAGAAGAGGAGGGGGAATGGTGGCGAGGTGATGTTCCTGAGGTCATTCCTGGTCCTAGGGGAAAGGATATATTTACCAAACAAAATCTGTTCCTTGCTCTAATTGCTTACAGTTATTGCCAATAGGAATATCAAACTCCTATTTTAAAATCCAAATGTTTTTTAAAAACAAAACAAATTTTAATTTCCTAATATTGTCAATATAATATTAACAGTTCTTTGACTTTCATTATTCATTGTGTGTGTGTGTGTGTGTGTGTGTGTGTGTAGAGAGGTTTCACGCAAAAGTCTAGAGCTTTACTTCTTTCAGATCCTTTAACATTAGGGTTGCCCTCACTTGCCGGTTTTAGCTGGCAGTAAAAGGCAGTGTATCTCAAGGGGGTTGTATTTCTTGCCTTCCATTAAGCTTGTGCCTCTTGAACTTTACAGGTAGCCCCTGAAGAAGATGAAAGGAAAAAGAGGCGACGGGAAAGAAATAAGATTGCAGCCGCCAAGTGCCGGAACAAGAAAAAGGAGAAGACAGAGTGCCTACAGAAAGTGAGTGCCTTTGCACCTGCCCCTAGCTCCTGCTCACCCCTGTCCCCCACCAACTCATGTCCCACGAGGAAGCAGAGTGTGAAAGCCCCAACTTAGAAGTGTTTTCCCAAGAAGGGAAAGCTGGTACCTGGCAGCAGAAATGCCTGTTGCAGAGTGAGGAGGTAGCAAAGCTGTAAGTACAATGAATGTGACTCTAAATGTGTAAGAAACAGATGTGTGAATGAAAAACCACAAGATCATCTGATGCCTATATTTCCAGCAGCCTCAGCCAGTCCATGCATGTCCAGAAACTTCCAGGCTGCAGGATATGTCACCCCAGTTAAAGAGGCTTCATTTGCCCATTTTCCTGAGAAAAGGAAGCTGCCATCTCTCATTTGGCTCACTATGAAAAGCCTTTAATTAATCTCTTCAAACAAGTTTTTTTCCTTAATCCACAGGCAGAGGTTACACTTGCTTTGCGTTCATGTCTCGTTCTTAACTTTGCAGCCCTTCTCCTCAGAGCAGCCAATCTGTGCTCCTGGCTGCGTTCAGCCAGCCCCTCTTCCAGAAGGGAGAGGAAGCAGTGGGATGCGCACCTGTGGGCTGGTGGAGCAGGCTGTGGTGCCGTCTTTCCAGTAGTTGTGTCCCACCCTCAACAAGTGTGGACAGGCCAGGGCAGAGTCTTCACCCAGGGTCCATAGGTCCCCAAGGGTTCTGTTGATTGCTTCAGGAGGTCAGTGAAAATTAAGACATTTTGGGTATTGCTATGTACATTCTTTCTGGGGAGATGAGCTTCTCAGTGAAACCAGTGACTCATAAAAGACCAAGTACCATGAGACTGGATTTCTTTCCAGCCCATAAGGCCTTTGCGGGTCCAGAAGACCTGCCTATGGGCTGTTGGACTCACACAAAGGAGATCCCTGTGCCATTGGTTCTATTACTGTTTCATTACTATAAGAGTCACGACTTGCCTCAACCTTGAGTGGAAACTCAAGGGCATCTCTGAAGAAGCCTCCAAGTTCAAAGGCTTCTCCAGGCTGTGGATTCTCCCAAACTTAATGCTGCTGCATTGGCTTTGTGGAGCACTGTAACAGGGAGCCGACGGCATTCCTCCTGCAGGCCATTCCCAGCTTGATGAGCCCCGACATGTTCCAGCCACGTTTCAGCCGTTACTCCTACCACCCAGGAGCACTGGCAGGCCCCTCCCCCGACCCCATCCTCACTGGACCTTGGCTCCCTTCCTAGTATCTCTGTTGCTTGTCCCCCAGGAGTCGGAGAAGCTGGAGAGTGTGAACGCTGAACTGAAGGCCCAAATTGAGGAGCTCAAGAATGAGAAGCAGCATTTGATATACATGCTCAACCTTCATCGGCCCACGTGTATTGTCCGGGCTCAGAATGGGCGGACTCCAGAAGATGAGAGAAACCTTTTTATCCAACAGATAAAAGAGGGAACACTGCAGAGCTAAGCAGCCGTGGTATGGGGGCAACTGGGGAGTCCTCATCGAATCCTCCTTTTCCATCTGAAACCCTGAAGCCATTGGAGATCTGACTTCCTGTGCACCTCTCACATCCCAGCAGCAGAGAACCATGAAGGCTGGAGGGCCCTCGGTGACTCAGCTGGGCCTTTCCACTCCACCCCAGGGTGGACTTTGGACCAGGGCAAGGGTATCTTTTGCCTCAACTCCAGGATTTAGGCCTTAACATGGTGGCCATCCTTGGATTCTCCAGATGGCCTCTGGTTAGGGTCCTGCCTGCCTTTCATCTGGATTCTACAAAAACCAGGACTCCCACCATTAAGATTCATGCAGAAGCAGTATCTGTATCTTGGGTGGATGGGGCCACCTCCTCTGCTGCTGCTGCCAGGGTCACTCATAGGGGACGTGGAGTGAGAATGGCATCTCGTGAAAGTTGTGCAATGGCCAGGGTTGTGCTTGCTAGCAAATATGCTGTTCTGTACAGGAATGACTGCGTGCAAGGTGTTCGTTTCAAAACTAGGCGTTGTGTACTTCCGATGTCTGCACCACACAATACCGCTATGACTTTTTCGCGACTTTCCTCAGGCCTGGTTTCTGAGAGTTAGGGGGCTATCACCATGGGCAGTGTCTTACAAAATGTTCGGGTGGCCAGAAAAGCGTGTCAGCCCTGGGAGAACAAAACGGCCGGCTAGCAGCAAGCCCGGTTTTCATGCCAGCAGAGGCCTCCTTCCCCTTGGCACCCAGGCATTAACGCGGGTCCTCTGTTGCAAACTCAGTTATAACGTCACAGGAAGAACGCAGAGACAGAGTCCAGGTTCCCAAGGGTTAGGACTCTCTGCTCAGTGACTTAGGTCAGGAATCTTTTCTAGGCCGGATGAGCCAAAGAATATTCCATTTTCCTCTTCTTGCGGTTGAAAACCACATTCAGTGAAGACGCATTTGAAGCCAGGTGATGCCTAGGCTTTAGCATTATTAGATGTCAATGGCATTGTTTTTGTCATGCAGATGTTTGTAGAAATCTGGCCCAGAGCGTTTATAGCTGTGAGAAAGTCACTCACACTGGCCATGAGGACTCTGGCTACAGTGTGTTTAAATTCTGATGTTTCTGTGAAATCCTCAGAGTGTTTAATCCTACTCAGTAGTCTCATTACAATTTTCTGTAAGAGAAAATAGTACTTATTTATCCGAGTATTCCTAACCTGTCAATGTAATAAATATTGGAACCAAGACACGGTGAACTTCAGTGTTGCGCTGGTTTCTGCTCTTTAAAATCAGTGGTTTGTTGAGATCTAACCATCCCCTTCCTCTCTCCTTTGGAGATGGTGGCGTGGGGGAGTGGTCTCAAGTTATATATATTTTTCAAGTGTTTTTCTTTGTTCTTTGGCATACAACTAGGTAGGATATTTGACTTTCAATCCTGTTTCTCAGTCTGTGGTTTCTGATGTTCAATTTCTCATTGACAAATTCTAGAACATGGCAGCAAGTATATCCTTTAGATTAACTATTTGGTATTTAGAATTTTGATATAAAAGTTGAATACCTCAACTATCATTTTCTCTGGTATATAAAACCTAACATGTACGTACGCCTGTTGTTCAACATGAGCGATGGACACCTTGCATTTGTCACAGATCTTGTCATTAACTCGTCACTTGAATTACATCTCTTATAATGTCCAAATATGGGTCTCATTGTTGCAAATATATATTTCAAATTTGGAAAAGAATGGCGGGGAGGATGGGAAGGAAGAGAGGAAGAGTGAGGACGAGAGACAGTGTAAACTTTAGACAGGATAGGCGTGATAATTCAAAGAAAAGGAGTCCACCTAATTTTCTGGACTCTCCAGAGCATATGATTGCTTAGGTCTGTAACAGAACCAGGGTCCCTCGCTCTTTGCCTTTACACATATGTAACACTCACAGGCTGGAAATAAAAACTGGCTACTCTGCCACCAATGCCATTCTTCAGAGAGGTTCTGGTTTCATTAAATGTTAGATTCATGCACATGAATGTTGCCTGCTCCTTTGAACTCGTGTATGATTCCTTTAAACTGTCACTTGTGACACAGGCATCCTAATTTTGCTGCTTTAATTACATATCGGGGTAGTTCCTAATTTGTCAAGAGCATCTGGTAGAAGTACTATTCACCACTCTTTTCAGGAGATAATCTATTTTCCTTATCTTGGTGGAGGGGGAAGAATTTCTCTGCACTTACCTTCTGGTCATGCCACCAATCAGCTGCTGCGAAACTCAAGACATTTTAAGCTGCATGGACAACAATGAATTCAAGAGGAAGGAAGGGGTGGTGGCTGTGGCAAGAAAGACTGACCTGAGAAATGCACTGTAAATCATTAGTGGAACTGTAAATTCTTTTAACGAACACATTGAAAATAGTTTTGTGTAACCAAGTTTATGTTTTGCTACTATAATTTTTTTAAAAGGATGAATATGTATTTACCATCAAGTTACTTTGTTCATCTAGTTTCACACTTGACAGCGAGGGAAGGTGGGGTTCTGAGAGAATTAACTTGGCTGGGACCTCTGCCAGAGTCAGACACCTGGTTTGACAAGGTCTTTTCCTTGGGCTGCCACTTGCTGGGGTGGTGACATCACACTGGGAGAGCATGGAGAGCCCACCCTCCCTCCTCTCTCCTGCCTTCATCTTGACCCCTTGCCTTTCCCTGGGATCTGACCTGACAGCTGTTTCAGAGTAAAGAGCTGTAAGGAGTTCTGGCCCAGATCAGGGGTCCTGGAATTGAAACTTGCACTTTCTGCCTGGAGTGAAAATGCTGACCATTTTCCATCTTTATCCTAATTTCTCCCCTGGGCTTTGAATAAACCCTGAAATACCAAGCTTTGCCTGTCTTCTGCATCCTACACTCTTTGGTCACATCCCCACAGTTTCTCTGTGGAGTAAAGTGTTTTCATGGATCTGCCTGAGGAAGAACCTTAGAGGAGGCCAGGTTTGCCCAATGAGGATCCTTCTGTGTTCTCATAGTGGCTCTAACCCCAAAAGCGTCTCTATTTGTCTTATCAAGAACTGCTCTGAGGAGCATGGAGGCTAAAAAGGCCAGCTGAGTCTAATGCTAATCATAGTAAATCAAACAAAGACAAATATGACATAGACACAACATTGTAAAATGACTAACTCAATAAAAAATGTTAAAAAAAGACAAATATAACATAAGTGATATCACTCATATGTAGAATCTAAAAAAAAATGAGACAAATGAATTTATTTACAAAACAGAAACAGACTCACAGACATAGAAAACTAACTTACAGTTACCAAAGGGGAAAGGGGTGGGGGAGGGATAAATTAGGAGTTTGGGATTAGCAGGTACAAACAGCCACATATAAAATAGATAAACAAGGTCGGACTGTATAGCACCGGGAAGTATATTCAACACCTTGTAATAACCTATAATGAAAAAGAATATGTATATATATGTATGACTGAATCCCTATGCTGTACACCAGAAACTAACATAACATTGTAAATCAAATATACTTTAAAAAGTGGCCAGGAGGGAGGAGAAGATGAGGGTCATAAAAGAGAATAATAGGCTTCCATATGCAGTCTGTTTGCACAAGTATAGGGGAGGGGAGAATCTGTGGTGATCACCTGGATAATTTAATCCCCAAATCAGCCCAGTTGCTGTCTTGGGTTCTCTTCATAACATATGCACACATGCAGAATTAATTATGCAGCTTCTAACGATGCACTAAGTAGGTCTCCTTAAAGGTACTTTAATCAGTGCAGTCTGCAAACATTTGGGTGGCTGAAGCTTTCCTTCGGGGCAAAGCACTACAGTGGTTCAGAACAAAGGCTTTAGAATCAACTACATCTACATTCAAATACTGCCTTCACTACCGTTGGTTCTGTGAACTTAGGTAAGTGATAAAACTTCAATTTCTTTACCTGTAAACTGGAAAATGTAGCAACAGCACCAAACTCAATGGGTTCTTATGATCACATGTCCAGAATATAGCATGGTGCCTATGAGAAGCAAGTTTTAAAATTTTCATTTTGTAACTCCCTTTTTATTTCCTTTATGATTTTATTTTTTTATTGAAATAAAGTCAATCTACACTGTTGTGTTAATTTGGAGAAGCAATTTTAATGTTATTTTTAAAAATCATCACCGTCAACGCTCACTGAGATTTTATAAAAGGAGAGACTAAGGCCCAATACTGCCAATTCTAGGTTATTTGAAAAAATTAAACCATGAGCTCATATAGTTCAAATCTATCCCATTATCTTATTTTCCTATAGATTTTGTCTAGTTGCTGAATTTGGAGGAGAAAAAAAGCAACCACACAAAATTTTCCCATTTGGAGAAATTTTTACTTGGTACCCACCTGAGTCCCTGGCAGGGTGGGCCTGTCCTCTGTAGGGTCAATGGGGTGTTTGGGGGAAGATGGTGGCCCTGCCCAGAGAGGGTGGCTGGAGGATACGAACAAAGGGGTATGTGACAGTGACAGGTCACAAAGGCAGCAGAGGATAAATATGCCTGCGCAGAGGGTTTAGGCTGAGAGGGTTTAGGCTGAGAGGGTGGTTGCTTCTCTCACTAGGACTGCAGTTCACAGCCTCTCGGGAAGATAAAAAATCAGAAGCAGAAGTGAGGTGAGGCAGAGGGGAGCCTATCATACCCCTCTATACATGAAGAGGTTCAGCCTGGGGGCCAGGCATCCTACAGCATCCCCACCTGGATCATCTGTGCCCCCACCCCTGCCTGAAGGTGGGGGGCCCGAGGGTAGGGGTGGGCTTGGGAGACCTGTTGTGGAGCCACCTGTGACATGCAGGAGCTCCACTGCTCCCTCTTCTGCCAACAAGGCCAAGGAAGAGAAGACCCAGGGACCTGTCTTGCCAGCACTGCTTGCCGTGACCAAAGACAGCCATGAGCAGGGAGTTTCTGTTACCATATTACACGGCCCAGAGCGGCTCAGGAGTGGGCATGTTCAACACTGCTATGGGGAAACTGCAGCGGCAACTGCACAAGGGAGAATACGACATATTCAAGTACGCACCGATATTTGAGAGCGACTTTATCCAGATCACCAAAAGGGGAGAAGTGATCGATGTGCACAACCATGTCTGCATGGTGACCGTGGGCATTGCATCCACCAGCCCCATCCTCCCGCTCCCAGATGTCATGCTGCTGGCCCGACCGGCCGCCGGCTGTGAAAAGCATGCTGGGCGGGGCCAGGCCACCAAGGGGAAAGGCCGCAAGGCTGCCAAGACCTTAGAACTCACCAGGCTCCTTCCCTTGAAGTTCATGAGGATCTCCATTCACAACCGCGAGAAACAACAGTTGCGCCTTAAGTTCGCTACGGGCCGCTCCTGCTACCTGCAGATGTGTCCCCCTCTGGATGGGCAGGAAGACCTCTTTGCCTATTGGGAAAAGCTGATTTACCTCCTGCGGCCACCAGTGGACAGTAACAGCAGCACCTGTGCCATTCCAGCGGGAGACATGATCTGCATGCCGGTGTTTGAGGAGGAGGACAGGAGGAGCCCAGCAGCGTCGGATTTCCAAGGAAAAGGGGATCAAGACCAGGTGAGCATCAGGAGCCTCCACGTGGGTTCCGAGGTGGCCACGGCCACCTCAGCAGCTTTTGCTGGAGGGGAGGGGATCCAACTGGACTCCCTTAAACTCACTACCATTTCCTATGCAACCACCACAAACACAAAACCTACAGAGCTTGGCAAAGAGTCAGCAGCGAGATCAATGACAGAGGTGGCAGCGGCAAGCACTGCAGCAGGCACTTTGAGAATGGCAGGGTCCACATCTCCTGCCCCAGAACAGCTGGGCATGGCCACAGCAGCCACAGCCACCAAGAGTCCAGGAGGAAGTAAAACCAAGATAGCCACTGCGGGCACTGACAACATATCCCTGAGGAGCATGAGATGGGGCGTGGCAGGTGCCGTGAACAATTCGGGGTATAATTCTAGCACATCCACCAGCCTCTCCCCTGAGGCCAGCATGACTGTGACAGGAGCAAAACCCAGCAAGACCATCAGAGGAACAGCCCACGACGAAGACCAGGGGCCCCTCATCTCCACCTTGCCACAGGAAGGCCAAGTGAGCGAACAGGATGGGAGGCCACAGCAAGTGTCCCAGGCCCGCAAGGGAAGAAGGGAGAGAAGGGAGCGATGGGAAAAGGAGAGAGCTCTCAGGAGCTTCCAGCACCGCAGGTCAGGGGAAAGCCGCCATAGGGCATCGGGGGACAAGGTAATCCGAAAAGCAGCCGGCCAGTCCTCAGCCCGCCATAGAGCCTCAAGAGACAACAAAAAGGAGAAAGGCCGTGGCGGCCCGGAGGACAGCAAGTGGGGTACAGCGCACAAGGGCATCAGCCACGCTCCCATTGCCAAGGAGTCCAGGACCTCACACAAATCAGGTAGGAGCTTATCCACAGGGAGTTCAGGTTCTGCCACCAAGAGACTCAGCAGGATCAGCTCTTTCTTGAGGAGCGTCAGAGCCAATCTTACTACAAAGGCAGTGAGTCCACCACAAGATGAAGATGAGGACATCCTGGCTAAGGCAGTGGGAAGGACCAGCATGGAAGTGATCGTGGAGACAGCAGAGAGTGGCCAGGAGCTGGAGATCATCGATGCTGTGGAGGCTGAGACCACGGAGACAGTGACCTTTGAAGCCCATTAATAGGACCCAGAGCTGGAAGCTGCAAAGGGGACCAGGGCTCAGGGAAGTATCCCTAGAAAGCCTAATCCAGCTTCCTTACTGCAGTTTAAATAAAGAACCATACAACCAGAGAAAGGCATGTAGCGTTCTGTCTGAATCTCTAGGTCCTGAAGCCCAGTAGTGACCTCACAGTGGATTCTGTGATGTCAGCCACGCTGCGGCCTGAGACCCCAGTGTCCAGGCAGGGGCAGCCCCACCTCACACACATGCTCAGTGGCACCAACAGGAATGCTGCATTTTGCCTCCCCAGAGCCACCGCTGAAAGTCAGACTCCAGCCTGGGAAGGTCTATGGTCACCATCTCCCTAACCTTTTTATAAATATTTATTCCCCCTGAAGGTCTGTAAACAAAGCAAGGACAGGCCTCCTATCCCCTCAGGCTAAATGGGGCAGCAGCATTTGCTGGCAATCAGAACAGTGAACACTCTCATCTAGACTTAGCCATTTCCTTCCTAGATACCTGGAGAAACACATATGTTCTAAGAAACAACTGTGAGAATGTTTATAGTAAAAATAATAGCAAAACACTGGAAACAGCCCAAATTTCCATCAACAGAATTAATACAGCAGGATATGAAGAGAGTGGGATATTCAATAGTGAAAAATGAATGAGCTACACACATTAGCATAGATCAACTTCTCATGATTTTAAAAAACATTAAAGAATGGAATGTAATTCCACTTACAGAACTGTTCAGAAATAAGATCATATAATATATCACATACAGTATGTTTCATAAAGCTGTAGACAAAAATGAGGGAACTGTAAACAAAATTCGGGACAGTTTTTCTCTAGGGTGGAAAGGCTAAATCAAGAACCACTGACACAAGGCTGTCAGTGCTGCTGGGAGTTGTTCTCTCAAGCAAAGTAGTAGGCACACAGATGTATTTTTGACATTTTACTATCTCTGAAATCAGGATGGTCCTACAATTACCGTGGCAGTTGTGATAAAATTATTGCCAATGCTTTTCCCTTATGTTTTCACTTTCATGTATGCACAAAAGTGATATGTCAGAAAGGCTTGCTCTCTTTAAATTACATTTCCTAAAGGTAAATTACAAGAACATGTGTTTGGTTATTAGAAATAGAAGGAATGATATTCCTATTTTTACAGAGGAGAACACTGAAGCTCAGAGAAGGTAACCTGCTCCAGTCACACAATGGGATCTTCAAAGAACCATGATCCACCAGCCCATTTCCTTATGCAAAGCCCTGTCTGAAGCATGGGAAGGAGGTATAGCAAACAAACCTGAGACAGGACCAGCACAAGAAACTGAAACCCAGCATTCTTAACACTATTTTCCCAAACTCTACAGAGATGAACATCAATTTTACTAGATTGAGGGGAAGGAAACGTAGGAGCTGGGGAGACACCGTGATTCAGTTTTCAGACTACAGTGAGCTCACTGCCCTTAGCTGACCTTATTTCAAGAGCATCCAGACCACCTCCGAGCTGTGTCTGGCTCCCAGGCTTCTACCCCAGCCTCTGGTGTGACCCAAGCTGCAGCCACAAACAGGCTCCCGCCTGGAATTCCACTCTCAAGTAGGGCTGCCTCTGTCTGCAGCCCAGTCCTCCCCTCAGCTGCTAATTAAACTTTGGTTGTTTCATCACACCAAATCTTCAGGAACTTTCTCTTTCTGGGGGTTCCAAAACAAAATCCTTAAACCTTCACATGAGGGAGATTATTTGTTGGGTAACAGCATCCTTGCTGCTTGGACCTTCAGTCTGTGACTTCTACAGACAGCATCACGGAGGGCGGGGAAGGTCTCTTCTGTTGGTGGAGGGAATGGTGGGCACTGGGCACAGACGAGAAAGGGGAATAGCCCAAGACCTACACATATCTACTGTTTTCTCTGGCCAAACAAGGTTCCTGACCCCAGGATGAGTCAAGTTATTCTTAAGAAAGAAGGGACATACCATGCCAAAGATTAGATACCAATTGGCCCTGTGAGAAAAACAACCTCAGAATCATTAACCTGGAGCTTCAGAGAAGCCTGCAGGCTGCAGGGAATCATAATTAATGGTTTACTCTTCACCAGCTTTTCCCTGGACTCACGGTGGAGAAATTATAAAAAGATCACACCACATTCCTTGGATCTTATGATTTTCACACAGGCAAATGCTGATTAACGCTGGTCTGGAGGAAGAAAATGTAATAAAAACACATGCATAGCTCTTAGCCCTTTATAAAGTTATTTAATATACGTGCCCCCTTCCAATTCTCACATCTCTCCATTCTGCAGATCAGCAAATGGAAGTTCTGAGTTTTCAAGAACTTGCTCAAGGTGAGAGGCAATGGTGCAGAGAGGAAGCTACCTCAGGGCAACAACTTCTAAGTGACACCTACTCTGTGCTACCCGGGTCCTGCACAGAGGTATAGAGACAGTGGAGAGGAAAGGACAGTCGTGAGTAATTATCACAAATTTGAGTGACAGATGCAATGAGAGACACATGGTCAGGGACAGGATCCATTCACAGGAGGGGTTCCAGGGCGTGGGAAGGAGTTGTCGGTTAGGGAGGACATCACTGAGGAGTTGGCAGTTTTAAGTATGAACAGGGCTCTGCCAGGTAGAGGGAATATGAGGAGCCAGGGTAAAGGTAGGGGAGGGGTGGGCGAAGGGCAGGAAGAGTATCAGGCCACGGAAAAGAGCGTGTGCAAAGTACAAAGGCTCTAAATATCATGGTGTGTTGAGCAATTACAAGTATTTCAGTACTGCTGGTTGGTGAGCAAGAGAGGACAGACATGAGGCTGGAGAATCAGGCAGTTGGATCTCGGGGGACCTGGAGTACTGCATGAATGTCTGGGACTTGGGAGCCACTGAAGGCTAGCCCCTGATGGGAGTAAGATCTCTCTGGCTCCAGGGTGAAGAGTTGACTGTCAGGGGGCTGTCGGAGACAGGGGATCCTCCAGGAAGCCACTGCATTAATACTGGCCAGATATGGGGAGGCCCAAACCTGGGTGGCACTGGAGAGACAGATTGGGGCAGAGTTAGGGGAGATGTTGAAAAGATGAAGAGATAGAGCAGGACAATTTTCCAGCCCACATCCTGAAAGACAGGGAGCTCATGGTGTAGGCGTGGTACTCATCTAAAGAAGTGGAACTGACAAAACTGGAGGTGACTTTCCCCTACGGTGACTATCGGTCAGTAGAGGGGGTGGCCAGAAGAGAGGCTCATGGGAAAGCAAGGAGTAATGTGTTAAGATACAAAACAACAGCTTGTAGATGTACTACAGGGTAGGCTAAGGGTAAAACACCAGGATAAGGCAGCCAAGGTGGGTTGTGGGTCTTCAGCACTTGGAGATCTTGGAGAGGAGAGACCCCATGAGCAGCTCCTTGTTCATCTGGGCATGACATGTTTGAACAGAGCCCTCCACCCCATAGAGCCCCTTGTGGCCACATGCTGGTACTGCAGGTTGGCGCTTGAAAGAGGGGAGCCAGGACTGAGGCTGAGTCACCATGACACTTCTTTCCCTTTGTCACAGCACAATTAACCTCATGCCAGAGGTGTGAGCTGTGGGAGGCAAGAGGGTCTGGGTAATGGGGATGTGTCTCATCCTGGTTGCAGGGCTCCAGGCCCCTGGTAGTGGAGTGGCAGAGTGTGAAATGGCTGAAAGGTCCCATGGGAGGCTGGAGATTCCAACTCAAGGGGACAATGAATGACTACCAAAAATATGGGTGGGGTAGAGTTAGTTAGAGTCCCTCTGCAGCCTGGAAGTCATTTGAGAAATAACTGTCGAGCACCTACCATGGGCAAGATAGGGAATGAGGGACCATGAGGATGTTCACACACACACACACACACACACACACACACACACACGCCAGCACGCGCGCACACTAGTAACACAGATCGCAGTGTGGTGTGATAAACAACACAGGTTTGAACTGCCTGGGTCCATTTATACGCAGAGTTTTTTTTAAATACACACAATCCAAGGCTGGTTGAATCCACAGACAAGGAACCACAGATTCAGAAGGCTGACTGTAAAATTTACACTTTGATTTTCAACTGGGCAGAGGATGAACGCTCCTAACCCCAACGTTGTTCAAGGGTCAACTTATAACATTCATACAGAAAAGTGTGTAACTGTAGGCACACCACTCAATGACATGTCACAAAATGAGCAACCCCATGTAACTAGCACCTGGTGAAGAATCAGAACATCACCACAACCCTGAAAGTACCCCTGTTTCAGTCACTAACAGGGAACCACTACCCTAGCTTCTAACTCCAGAGATAAACTTTGTTTGCCTTTCAACTTTACATAAGTTGAATCACATAGTATGTTCTCTTTGACACTGGTTTCTTTCCCTTAATATCATATTTATGAGATTTGCCCATGACTTTTTCCAGGCAATCGCTCATTCATTTTCACTGCTATACAGTATCCCATTGTGTGAATACACTACAATTTACTCATTCTGCTGTTGATTTGAGTTATTGCTAGTCTTGGGCTATTAAAAATAGTGCCACAATGAACATTTATACACAGACTTTTTGGTAAAAACATACATGAATTTTGTTGGGCATATACTTAGGAATGGGATTGAACATATGCATTCAGCTTTAGATAATACTGCCAAGTTTTTTTCCCAAATGGCTGTGGAAATAATAATAATTCCAACCAGGAAGATAATAATTCCTACCAGGAATGTATGAAAGTCCTTGTTCCACATCCTTGCCAACATTTGATGTTGCTTATCTCTTTCATTTTAGTCATTCTAGGGGAATATAGTGACTTTTATCCCTTTTTCATGACAAAATATACTTAAAAATATATAATATGGTGATCTATAGAAAATGGTAATCTTATTGTAATGTCCTTAATAGGCAAAATTAAAAGTTGGTTTCCAAATTAATTTTGAAATTTCACACATCTCTGAAATCTTAAGAATCTTGTTTATACATTTTTAAGGGTTTTTCATTGCAAGGGAGCTTATTTTTTTAACATCTCCTACTATCCTGCTCCAGTACCTTCTGCTTTATAACAAACTACCCCGAAACTTCATGACTTAAAACAACAGACATTTTCTGTTTGCAGCAACATGGAAGGACCTAATGATTGTCATTCTAAG